AGCTGCGCCGTGAGCCAAAATTCGAAGTAAATGCAATGAAGATGTTTGCACTTTGGCCTTCCTTTTTGGTAAAGTGTAGGTCTCCGCTGAGAAGTGAGGGCTTCGTGCTATCATTTGGGGAGGTGATTGTGTGTTCTTCCGTGCGTGAGTGCGTAGAGAAGTGTGTATATGTGCGAGCGCGTGCTCATTTGCCCGTGTGGGTGCGCTTTTGTGTGTGGTCACAAGCGCATGTGTGTACATTCTTTTGTGCGGATGTGTGTGTGGACATGTCGGCACGTGCGTTGTGCGTGCTCTTTCATGCCTTAGTGTGTGCAAATGTGTGTGTGTGTTTGTGCGTGCGTGCATGCTAATGTGTGTGAGCTATTTTGTACCTGAGTGTGTATGTGTTGTTGGACTGCGTATTTGTGTTATTTAGTGCATGTGCGTAGACCACTGCCACATTTAACTCTTGCAGGCTTAGTTAAGGGTCCCCCAATATTGGCCGTCGTTATCGCATGCATGTTTTTAAATGCGTTGAGATTCTTTTTTATTCAAGAACTCACCGTACTGCTCCGTGCAGTACATTACTGCAAGTCAACACAAAGCAAAAGCTTGGGCTAAGCTTCCGCAAATTTCCAGCTGATGAAGCTCTACGGGAGAAGTGATTGACAGCCATACCCAAGAAAGATTTCATTCCAAATGACAGGTCCGCCAGCACTGATGCAGCTCAGCTATCCTTCCGATTGTTTTCCTCTTGAGTAAGCAGTTCACAAAGTTTTTATTATTAAACCAATCGGGTAAGTTCGCTCTTTTGTGTACTTTCTACTCATGTGCTGCACAGGGGGGTACCAATATTTTTTTGAAAACTAGCTCACAGATATGTTCGCTTCGGTCGTTATCATCAAGACAGAAGCTGGGGCACGAAGAAAAAGAAAGAATATAGCGCCAGTTGCCATCAATTCTTCTATTTGTTGTATTTGGGGCTGTTGGGGGTGAGAAAAGGTAAGGTGTACAGCTTACCCGCGGTCTGCGGCTTTAATAAGGCGACATCTTCAAGCTCCATAAACCATCCCGCATAGACATCAAAGGAAAGGATGGGTAGTAGGCTCGCGCCGCCATGTGGCGAACGGAGCGGTCACGCCCCCTTTTGCGATTGCGCCTTCTCCACCTGAATAAGATGGCCAGGGGAACACTGCTGCGTGTGCCGATCCAGGCGGCCGTGCTCTCGTGTCTTCATTTTACATGGATGTCGTGAAATGGCACCACTTCTACGTTTCCTAGCAGCTTTGACTGCGATGTCAAACTATCACGGCTCCTCAAACTTTCATCTTCGTTACTTTCAACTTGTGTGCTTGCTTCCTGGCTCTTCTGAACATCAAACAACTGACTTGCTTACTGCTTGGATCAGGGGTTTTGTTTTGGACGGATATAAATATTTTTTCACATTTACCACTCGTGCTCGAACATTCTGAGTGCATCTGTTAAATATGTTTGCTTATATTGTGCACCTGACCGTTGTTTGCCACTTGAGGGTTTGTTTAGAGTGCGCAGTTTTCTATGCAGATGTAGTGGACGTGGAATTCTTCTAATCATCATGGAAAACCTGTAAAAGTCAGGGAATTTAAAATTATAAACTTGTTACAACCTGTGGTATTATATAAGCTTATTTTACATAAAAGAGAACACAGTTTCAAGAGTAACATTCTTAATGTGGTATATAGGATGCTCACTTGAGAAGTGCACATCTGCTTGCACTTATGCTTAGTTTCATACTCCAAATGGTACACCATCCGGAACCTTGTTAATATCAAGTTGAAGGCAAGAGACACCATTATTGACATTAATGTTGTGGTAAATAACATAATCATCAACAAAACAATTTATTGAAAGCAAAATGTTCCTAGGTAAGTCATCATAATAAATGAAATATAGGTGAAACCCACAAACTGCGAATCTCCGACAAAGAAATTTTTAACAATCGCAAAAATTGCATCCTTGCCTTGGTAAATACACAACACAACCAGCTGCTTGTGGTGGCATTTCTTTTTATTTGGATACTAATCTGACTTAGTTAAACACCAGAAGGCCACAAAGTGCTGTCACTCAGACTCGTCAGAACGCAAGTTCAACGGCGTCTGTTTTTCACTAGTAACGCCCCAAAGTGCATTGTCCTCCGTTCCATCCAATGCGTTACTGATGCAGCCTTTGCGGAAAGATGGAAGTACACCGTCTCAAGGCAAAGCCCTTTCACTTCACAAATCGGCGCACCCACGATGGTGATCCCTTGAATTACACCATCCTGAGCCCTGAGCTGTGCGTTATCTCGAGAGCTTTCATGCGGATGCACTCCGCTGTTACAGGTAGGGACCTTGTACACAGCTCCCGGACTAATTCGGGGAATAGCGTTTCTAAGTCGGGGTGCACTGCAGTTCATCCACGGAACAGTGTTTTTTGCTGCAGAATGTGATGTGCTGCCTTTGGCTCCTCCAGTATCGGACGCTTTTCGCTGATGCACTGTATTTCTGTTGTGCCACCAGGTTGCTCTGCACTTTGGTATACTCGATAACTTTTTTTCTTAAAGTTCTTTTTTCTTCTCTTTCTTTTTTCTTAAGTGCTCTGAATACCTGGTGTGTCAAAAACAACTGGGTCCATGAAAGGATCATCAAAGACAAGGCGATAACAAATATCACAAGTAACATTGTTGGAAAAAGCCACTGCAGAGACATTTCTGAAAGCAGAAACACCATCAGAGGATGTAAGTGGGAGTGTGGTAGTGTCCTTCTTATTTATTACGTTCCAGAATTTTTCGGATTTTTAATCAGCATAGCAGGCAAAGTGTGATTAAGGAATGTATCCTTGGCGTTTTTTAACACAGCTTTGTACTTGATTGATTTGATTGATTGATATGTGGGGTTTAACGTCCCAAAACCACTATATGATTATGAGAGACGCCGTAGTGGAGGGCTCCGGAAATTTAGACCACCTGGGTTTCTTTAACGTGCACCCAAATCTGAGCACACGGGCCTACAACATTTCCGCCTGCAGCTTTGTACTAAGCAGCCGCGAGAAAGTAGGAGGCCCTGTGCACCTCAAAACTCAGCACATTTGCTGAGCAAACTGAACATTTCTTCTTGTTTGACAGTCTTTTCCATAATTTTTAAAACCAAGGTGATTCTCTGTCACACTTGAAGGACTTGAGCGGCATAAAAGCATCAGTAGAGCATGCGATGGTGTTCTTGAACGATTCGCAATTATTGCGGACAAAATGCAGTGAAAACTCCGGCAAGTATTTATCTAGAAAAAGATGGTTCATGGCATTGAAGTCTGCCCATTTATAGTGCCGAATGTGTTTCATCTGATTGGTGTGCTGATATACAGGAATGTCAGCATCAAAATGAAGCAAGAAATGATCATTGAGGCCAGGTAGATGCATGATTGAATAAACATGATTGAAAAACCAAATGCGGCACATTATTTAGACCAGATCTAAATTGTGCCCCTAATGTTGTACCCCCATCAGAATTATGGGAAGTACAGGCTTCACATCCGCTTCAGATGCATACTGGATGTGGTTGAAGTACTTTGTGTAGGTTGAGAGACAAGCTGTGACAGGTTAAAATGCAAACAGGTCAGTCAAGAAAGGACTAAAATCATAGAGTTTCATACTATAATACCGAGAGTGGAATCTGGCGCTAGTGTCTACGTGGGCTCCTTCAGCGGCGCTTGTACCCCCATGGGAATTATGGGAAGTGCAGGCTTCGGATCCGCTTCAGATGGATTATGTTCTTGAGATTCGCAATGCTTCTTCTTTTCCGAGTGTAAAAACTAAGTGATACAAACTTAAATTTCATTGAAACTTCCTTCAAGTATTTTTACGCAAACTTTATTGCAAAAAGTTTTGTGACCAGGTGGCAAAAGTGAAACTTGGGCACATTCAACCATCAGGGTATGCATTGCTCTGCCATTGCATTCCAGACTTGGCATCAAGGTTTAAAGGTATTTTTTACAACACTTGAAAACAAACATGCTACTTTTTCGCTCGAAAGTATGTATTATCTATTTATGGAAGTACCAGTACAGTATTAAGTGAGAAACACTTATCGTTTCGTTCTCTGCGATGCTAGGTGTGTTTGTTCCAGTGGTCCCAGTGGTGTGCCCCCAACGCACCTCTGGTTTTGTGTTGAAGTCGAGTCAGCGGAGCACTACAGTGCGTCTACTTATCTTCGTCGTTGCTTTTCAGTCTATTTAAAATGAGTTAAGGCAAGGCGCGCTCATGAAAAACATCAACTCGGGGCAATATCCTGCTCTGGCATGAGACACTACGTCTATGCACAGCGGTGAGTGGGCGACGCTTCTCTTAAACTGTCAAATAGGACTCGTAAAGCTCCAATGTTGCTGCAAATCAGGAGCTCTAGTGGTCGTAAGCCTTTTCTAACAACAAAAACACTGCTTCAGCCTTTTTCATCGCACCCCACTACCCTGGCTGCGTGAGGAATGAAACTAAAACTGTAGAAAAAAGTCGGTATAGTTCACATGGAGGTACACGATCGCAGCACCAGATTACTTTTATATACTATTGTATGAAACTCTATGGCTGCGATAAAGGGCACTATTTCGCACAATAATGTAGTTGAGATTCCCAGCTAAAAGGATTCGAATGTTGGGATAGAGTGCAGTAGTCATGTTAAGCGCAATATCCATGAGAAGAAGTTGAAAACAAGAGACAGTAACGTATGCTCAAAATTATTTTCTTAAAATGTACACAAGGTACAACCCATACTAGTTCTAGGTTTCTTAGGAAACTAATGGGCGATGCAACAAAATCATCCACAACAGCTATTAAAACACCTCTGCCACATCTTGGACCTCAATTAAAGTGAAATACATTAAAACCAATGTTTGCAGTTGTAAACGGTTTCATAATCATTACGTTACTGAAATTTATTGCCTTTCAGATGACTTTTCAAACTTTGTCGTTATCACTGCTGCCTTTTGTGAGTATTCGCAGTACTTTTGCACAGGCTTTGTCCCTGGAGATGCTGTGCCTGACTTCTAGTGCCCCGTTGCGCCCCATGGAGCAGCAGCAGTTGCTCGACACACTAGTTCCGCAGCTACCGAAGCTGCGCGTGCTGCATGTGCACGCCCCGAACCTGCGGCCTCTTTCCCACCTGGCCCTGGGTGAGCCGCGCATCTGCTTTGACAGCAGCAACGGTGACAAAGTAAACCCCACCGTCGTCTTCACCAATGAGCTGAGCATTCTCTGCCGTGCATGCAATTTCATTGGGCTTTCCAAGCCATACAACCGGGATCCCGAGCCCTTGCCGATGGATGGCACCAATGGCTGAATGCTGTGGTATGGGGGTGGCCGCATCCTTCACAAGAGTGAAAGGCAGGTGGCGACAATGTCCAATACCAGCTTGGTGTTGCTGCTTTGCTACATACCAGTTAATATTTTATTTGTGGGAGGCAGTGATTTTGCTCAGTAGTTTCTCTTTCATTGCATTATGTTATTTTGTTGAAACTATGAACCGTTCCCTTGTTTAATACAGCAGGGTTTTTATGTTAGCTGTAGAACAGCCTGGGCAGTGCAAGGTTTGATGCTGAAAGGTTCAATGGTATGTCCTCCCAGATGTATTTTTTTATCTTACTGTCTTGAAAGAAAAATGAGTGAGTAAGTGGGGAAGGAAAGCTAGAAGAGAGGAGGAATCGGCCATATCTTGTCGTTGCTCACTTCTGCACATCTTATGACTCGGCGTGTGCAGATTGAATTGCTAGTCCCACTGCTGTGACCTTATAATTTTGCGTTGTGAATGTGATCAAGGAGATAGTTGTGAAAGACACTGTGCTTTTTGTTTCCCTGTGTGAGGGAAACAAAAAGCAGTTAGCAGTTCATGCTTCCCTAAGCACGAACTGTTATCAAAAGGCTCTTTGGGACAGTGTGCTTGCTTGCCACAAGCTTCTTTATTTCCCACATGGGGACACTCGATAAGCATATCAAAAAAATGCACTTTCACCGTGTACATTTTGTACTGTGAAATACAAGCCATAAGTAACAAGAAGCTGCATATGCTGTTTCTTTGTGGAGAGATGGGGCTTCAGGCTAAGGTTGGAGCTTAGGTGATCAACAGTGGTCAACGGAGGATTTGTTGAGCTAGAGCCCGTGCTTTAAAGGCACCTTAAAGGCAAAAAGAGCAATTTATGTCAGAGAGAAAGATCAATGCTTGAAAACATCTGAACAGACTATTATCAACAGTAATGCTATATGAATTGAGAAAACAAAGTAAATGTGCAACACATGTGCTACGAATGGGGCGTTTTGGAAGAATCCCAATGATGTCAAGAGTCCTGAGTACTATAAAGGCTAGTAATTAAGCCAGTAACTATTAAAAAAAAGAACCTGTCTGCATTATAAGACAATAGAAGAACCGCTTCCAGCTTCAAACTTAGGGACAAATGGTCCATAAGTTTCATTTTCTCCGCATTGTGCTTTGCTTATGTCTCAATGGTAGTTTCATCAGAGGCGGAAAGTGCGGGGGGACTTGGGCCCTCTTCGATCTGTATCAGCGGGGCCAAGCTCTCCATGTTGTTCCAAGCTCTCTCTCTCTCTCTCTCTCTCTCTCTCTCTCTCTCTCTCTCTATATATATATATATATATATATATATATATATATATATATATATATATATATATATTATAATGTAAATGCAAGGTAAACAGCGGTAGCGGCGTCGGTACTGAAGCAGCAAGAGCAGGCCGAGTATACGAGCAGCGTCGCAGCAGCAACCAGGCAGTCTTAGCTCGTGCCTCGCGCCAACGTGTCGATGTCGCTGCAGTAGTGGGCATTCCTCTTCACTACACTTCGTCCCCCGTCGAAAAAGGAGCCATCCTGGCGACTCACGGTGAACAGAGTACGAGCGGGTCGTAATAAGGTTTCAGCCGCTGTACGTGAACAATTTCACGTCCCCGAAAGCTCTGGTCTGTGGATGGCGTAACGGGTTCGACGATGTAGTTAACTGGTGAAGTCTGCGAGACAATGCGGTAGGGTCCCTGGTATTTTGAAAAAAAACTTCGAGGAAAGGCCTGTAGGCACAGCGGGAAACCAAAGCCAAACAAGAGTGTCCGGAACAAAGTTAGGGTACGGGTGGTTATCGTCACGCCGAGATTTTCGTCTCCATTGGTCGATTGTTGTGAACGACTGGGCGAGCTTAGGGCATTCCTCGGCGCGGCGGGCAGCTTCAGAGATGGGCGTAGACTCGGAAGAATCGGGGTGGTAGGGCAGAATGGTATCTAGTGTGGTGGAAGGGTCTCGGCCATATAACAGGAAAAATGGTGAAAAGCCCGTAGTCACTTGTGGAGCAGTATTGTAGGCGTACGTCACAAAAGGCAGAATGAGGTCCCAGTCGGAGTGGTCTGAGGCAACATACTTTGATATCATATCCCCTAGGGTACGGTTGAATCTTTCCGTTAATCCATTCGTCTGCGGATGGTAGGCGGTGGTAGTCCGGTGAATGATACGGCATTCGGCAAGGAGTGCGTTGACGACTTCAGAGAGGAATACACGTCCTCTGTCGCTGAGAAGTTCACGTGGTGCGCCGTGACGCAGAATGAAGTTCCGCAGGAGAGAAGATGAGACGTCGCGTGCTGTGGCAGCAGGCAAAGCGGCTGTTTCCGCTTATCGCATCAAGTAGTCGACAGCGACAACGATCCAACGGTTTCCGGAAGCCGTGAATGGTAGAGGCCCGTACAGATCAATTCCAACGCGGTCGAAAGGCCTGGCTGGGCAAGGGATTGGCTGGATCGGACCAGAGGCATGATGAGGGAGAGCTTTGCGTCGTTGGCACTGAGGGCATGGCTGAATGTATTTGCGCACAAAGGTGTACGTGCCTCGCCAATAAAACCGGTAGGAAAGCCGAGCGTATGTTTTGAAGACGCCCGCATGTGCGCACTGAGGGTCAGTGTGGAAAGCTGAAAATATTGCAGCACGAAGATGGCGTGGAATGACGAGTAACCACTTTCGGCCGTCGGACTTGTAGTTCCTGCGATAAAGGAGGCTATCGCGGACCTCAAAGTGAGCCGCTTGACGGCGCAACGTTCGAGAAGATGGAGAAGTCGACAGGTCTGAAAGGAATCGCAGAAGAGTGCTGATCCAGTCATCCTTACGTTGCTCAGATGCCATGTCACAGTTTTCTGGGAATGACACCATTTCGTCAACGGCAGATAGACATGCAGAGCTTTCGGAGGACACAGGTGAACGTGATAGGGCGTCGGCATCAGTGTGACGTTGACCAGACCTGTAGACAACACGCATGTCGAACTCTTTCAACCGCAAAGCCCAGCGAGCTAAACTGCCGGAGGGGTCCTTCAATGTGGATAACCAGCAAAGCGCATGGTGATCGGTGACTACGTCGAAGGGGTGACCATATAGGTATGGTCTAAATTTACCTAGAGCCCATATAATTGCCAGACACTCCTTCTCTGTCGCAGAATAGTTCTTCGCTTTGGTGAGGGTACGGCTTGCGTATGCGACTATGTACTCCTCGAATCCTGATTTCCGCTGCGCGAGCACTGCGCCGAGTCCAACACCACTGGCATCGCTGTGTACCTCAGTCGGAGCAGCCGGGTCAAAGTGACGCAAGATTGGCGGCGAGGTTAACAGGCGGCGCAACTTTTCAAAAGCATCGTCACAGGCGGGTGACCAAGCGTAACTTTTCGAGTCACTGCGCAGAAGTTTAGTCAAGGGGGCGGTGATCATCGCGAAATTCCGAATAAAGCGGCGGAAATAGGAGCAGAGGCCAAGAAAGCTGCGCAGATCCTTCAGAGATGCAGGTTTAGGAAACTCTGCAACTGCCCGAAGCTTGGCGGTGTCAGGAAGGATACCGTCTTTAGAGACAACATGGCCAAGGATGGTGAGCTGATTTGCGCCGAAGCGGCATTTCTTCAGGTTGAGCTGAAGGCCAGGGTCAGTTAGGCACTGGAGTATTTCATCTAGCCTGCGGAGATGCGTTGGAAAATCTGGTGAAAATATAACTATGTCATCCAAGTAGCACAAACATGTTTTCCACTTCAGGCCACGCAAAAGGTTGTCCATCATCCGCTCGAATGTTGCGGGGGCGTTGCAAAGACCAAAAGGCACGACACAGAATTCGTAAAGGCCATCAGGTGTGACAAAGGCCGTCTTAGGCTGATCTTCAGGGGCCACAGGGACTTGCCAGTAGCCACTCCGTAGGTCAATAGAAGAGAAGTACTCCGCACCTTGGAGGCAGTCAAGGGCATCGTCGATTCTCGGTAAGGGATAAACGTCTTTTCGAGTTATTTTGTTAAGACGACGGTAGTCAACACAGAAGCGAATTGGTTTCAAGTGCATCGTTTAACGGAGCGTCGCCAAACACTTCAGATTCTACCTCAGCGCGAGAGCAGTCGATGACGGCCTTATTAGCGGAGAGAAAGTCCCAACCCAAAATGAGATCACGGGAACAGGAATCTAAAACTAGTAATTCGACGACATAGATGAGGCCATCAATCGCGATTCGACCAGTACAGGCAGCGGCTGGCGTGACGTGCTCTGCGCTGGCTGTACGAAGTGATATACTTGCTATTGGCGTCATAACGTTTTTGAGCAAGCGGCAGAGCCTGGCATTGATCACTGAAACTGCGGCACCAGTGTCGACAAGAGCGAGTGCAGTGACGCCGTCCACATATACGTTGAGAACATTCGTTGGGGAAGAGAGAGGCCTTGGTCTTTTCGCGGGCGACGCAGTTCCTGCCTCTGGAACTGCGGCAATCAGTTTTCCCGCTCCGGCGATTAAAAACGGCGGCGCATCGGGGATGGCGAGCGGCGTCGAGGTGATGGTGAGCGACGGTTAACTGGAGGGCGGTAGTCGGCGTACAATGACATCTGGTCAGGAGGCTGAGACCCTGTGAACGAAGGGCGCGGTGACACATAAGGGGCAGGTTCGAAGCTCTGGTGGTAGCTCTGGTGGTGGTAGATAAGGACGCGTCGACGGCAGTATCGCGCTATGTGGCCAGGTAGGCCACAGGCAAAGCATATGGGCTGATTGTCGACTGTACGCCATTGTCCACTACGCTGGAGAGACCTTGGCTGAGCGAACCGAGGAGTAGGTCGTGGTGGCATGGCTGATGGCAGTGACGTAAAAGTCTGAAGAGGTGGTCGAGCGGCCACTTCAGCATAGCTTAGAGGTGCAGTCACCTCGGCACAGGCACCGGGGGTCGGCAATGATGAAGCGTCACGGGCAGATGGCAGAGCCGCGCAAACTTGCTCCTGGATGGCCTGGCGAAGGTTTGCTGGAAGAGGTGACTGTGGTTGGCCGACTGTCGATAGCAGCGATAGCTGACGAGCGACTTCAGCACGAACAAACTCCTTGATCTGCGATAGTAGGGACTCAAGGTCAGAGGTGATGGTTAGGCTTGAGAGTGTGTCATCCGTGACGTTAGGGCGTCGCGTGAGGAGACGCTGTCGTCGGAGCTCGTCGAAACTCTGACACAACTCGATGAGCTCAGAGACAGTGACAGGGTTCTTCGAGAGCAGCATTTGAAAGGCATCGTCGGAAATGCCTTTCATGATGTGTCGTACCTTGTCAGTTTCCGCCATCTTCGGGTCGACACGCTGGCAGAGGTCGAGGACGTCCTCGATGTAGCTAGTGAATGTTTCACCAGTATGTTGGGACCGGCTTCGTAGACGTTGTTCTGCGTGAAGTTTCCGCACACCAGGGCGTCCAAAAACATCTGTGATGCAGGCTTTGAAGGTCGTCCAAGTGGGGATATCCGCCTCATGGTTTCTGTACCATAGCTTGGCAACATTTGTTAAATAAAACATCACGGTACCAAGCTTCGCGGGATCGACCCATTTGTTAGTAGCACTGGCTCGTTCATAAGATTCCAGCCAATCCTCAACGTCTTTCTCATCGGTGCCGCTGAAGATGTCTGGTTCTCGCAAGAGCTGGGCACCGGGACAGCTCCTGCGTGGCGAAGCCGGTGGGGGTGTGAAGACAGCGTCGTCAGGCATGACGGACGACAGCTTTCGGCTGCGCAGTTCCAGGACTGGGGAAGACCGCAGCACTCTCCACCAAAATATAATGTAAATGCAAGGTAAACAGTGGTAGCGGCGTCGGTACCGAAGCAGCAAGAGCAGGCTGAGTATACGGGCAGCCTCGCAGCAGCAACCAGGCAGTCTTAGCTCGTGCCTTGTCGATGTCGATATATATATATATATATATATATATATATATATATATATATATATATATATATATATATATATATTGGGAGCGCAGTCACCGACTCTTCTTTACGATTGGACGTGTCATCATCATTTGTATAATTTCCTCATCTGTAGATATCATCATCAGTGTGTGCCAGCTCGAGCTCGCCTCGAATAAAGCTCTTCCTCATAAGTGGTGGAGGTGCTTCTCGATCCCCAAGTCTTCTCGCACGTTACCACTGGAGCTCCGCTCGGGTTGTCGTCTACTACCACCTGCCATGGCAGTGCAAGACAATCCTGCTCCATCCAACACCACCAGCCTAGTGCAGTCTCCGCTGTCGACCCTGGCCATCCACAGCCACCA